CGTATTAGTGGTTACTAGGAGTGGGAGGAGGAGCCCTGCTAGCAAAGTGGTTACAATTTAGGCTGCTAACCACAAGGTCAGCAGTTTGAAACCACCGGTCTCTGTGCAGGATACAGATGAGGCGTTCTACTCCTGTAAAGAGGAACAGCCCGACAGGGTCATAATGAGTCAGATTCGATGACAGTAAGTGAAGAGGGGGTGCAGTGGTGGGAAGAAGGGGAAGCCATTGCTTATGGGGCAATGAGTTGCTGTTAAGTTGATGGAATAATTTGGAAACAAGTCATGGTGATGGTTCTTGAACATCTTACTATAGCAGAAAATGAACAATAATGTGGAAGAAATCATTTTTAACACTGAACTATATGGTTTGATAGATAACATGCATTAACAAGTTAAGCAAGATTGGCCTTACTAATATAAAAAATATAAACTGCCTATAATATGGGCAATACAAAATGAAGAGCACAATCAAAGCCACTGAATAGGACATATAAGAAAAGTAGCATTGGGGTCAGGTGATTTGGGGCGACCTTAGCACAACGTTGTATGGCAGCAGCTGAATGATCTTCTCTCTTTTCCCCCCATCTTGAAACACTGATCACAGATGAGGAATGCCAAACAAAGGCATCTGGTGCCGACAGTGTCCTAGGAAGTGGACAGAACAATGGACTGCTGGAGATGGATAAGCCCCTTTAGGTGGCAACGATGGCAGTGACATCTCAGTTGGTCAGGAAGGCACTGATGATCACGGACAAGCTGCAGTGGACCTCGTACACTGAGACAAGAAGAACGGATGGAGTCCGGCCACCAAGGATAAGGATCCTGAACAGGACATGGTGAATGGCTTAGAAAGAATGGAGGACAACACGCAACGGAACTCAAACGTTGCAGGTCCAGACTTACTGGACTGGGTGAGACCAGGAACTCTCTCAGACTACTGCCCTGGAATATCTTTAAACCTTTATCCCAAAGTAGCTCCTAGTTTACTTTATAGTTAATTAACAGATTGGATAAAAAAGTAGTATTTTTTAAAACTTGAATTGGCAAATATTTTGTTATGTATATTTTTACCACAATAAAACCTACGAAAATACATCTCAAGAGTTAGTGAAGCCAACTCTTTATCCACCCCACCCCACCCCCAAGCCCTGAACACTGCCCAGCTCAGTAAAGGGCTCTGCCATCGCTCACATTTGCTGTGCGAACAGTGACACCTTTGAACCTGTTTCTTTCACTCTTTTACATTTTACATCCAACGCAGCCAGCAACCGTATCCATCCTAACTCCCAGATTCATCCACCTCTCCTTTGTATTCACAGCAGTCTGATCCATGGCCATCTTTCCTAGAGCCTCCTAGCCTGTCTCTGTCTCACTCCATCACCTGGCCCTCCCCACTCACGTACAAACTGTGGTCCCCACCCCAGAACCACCTCACTGAGGCCTCAAGGTCTTGTCCGTCCTCTGCTCGAAAGACTCCAACTTCCTCTAAAAAAAACCAAATCACGTGCTGCCATGGAGCTGATTCCCATTCACAGCTGCTTTACAGGGCAGAGAAACTGCCTCTGTGGGTTCCCAAGACGTCACTTTGGCGGTGGTGGCGCTGCGCGTCATTGAGTCCATTCCACCTCATCCCTGGCCCTGGGTCCTCCTCACACCTGTTCTTATGCTTGGGCCCGTTGGGCAGCCACTCTATCAGTCCATCTTGTTGAGGGCCTTCCTCTTCCTCTGCCCCTTGACTTCAGCATGATGTCCTTTTCATCTGCCGGCACTCTGACAACGTTCTGCTTCTACTCCTTAGGTTTCTGACTGTGTTTTCAGGGTGGGCAGCATATTCCTTCTTCGAAGTCTGTTCTTAGTCTGGAAGCCCTGCTGAAAGCTGTCCGCTTTGGGTGACCCTGCTGGGAGTTTAAATACTCATGACATAGCTTCCAGCATCACAGCAACACGTAAGCCACCAAAGTACAACAAACTCACAGTCAAGTGGTGGTGTAAACTCTTCACCAAAGTAGTGTGTGGCTGGTGGTTACAACCTGCTGTCCCTGAAGTTGGTTAGCAGCCCAACTTGTATCCCACTGTGCCACCACAGCTCCTAAAGGCTCCCTGGTGTCCTGAAAATAAAATGCAAACCGCTTACACAGCCTCCACCTCCTGCGTGCCAGCGTCTTGTAGTGGCTTACAGGGTGCAGGGATACCACAGGTATTTCAAATACTGGCAAGGTCACCAGGGTGGACAGGATTCAGCAGAGCTTACAGACTAAGAAGGGAAACCAAGTGATCTACTTGCAACAACTAACCAGTGAAACCCTTAAGAACTGCAACAGAGTATCGTTGACATCGTTGACAGGCATTCAAACTGCACACCAGCCACATAACGGAGGAAAGCATAACACCCGCCATGAAGAGGAGTCAGGACAGGCCCTCTTTTGTGCCCAGGTATAGGAACTGGAGCCCACTCCAGGGCACCTACACAACAGGGCCTACAAAGCTCTATACATCTGACCCCAGACTAACTTTCCACCTTGATTGTTCTCACACTTGGCCATCTCCTTGTCTTCGCCTACCAATCCAGACCCCTGCAGGATCCACACACCTAGACATTCTTTTTCCTGTACCTTCTTCTCAGCCCTAAGCCTTCACATACTCTTCCTTCTTTCTGGAATGTTATCCCAGAGCCTACTCTCCTCAAGGCTGCTATGCATCCATCAGGTTGTAGTTCAGACATCTTCTCTGAGACATGTCTGGACCACTCTATTAAATAAGACACCCATAAGTCACTCCCCATCCCCCCATCCCCTGCCTGGATTTTAATTTCTTCCCGGGAGTTGGAGCTTTCCTCTCCTAACCTATCCACTTCTGGATCCCAGTGGCCAGCACAGAGGAGGAGTCTGCTTGGTTCCCAGCATCCACACCACAGTACATGCTATATACCAGGTACTCTTTGAATAGACAAGAACAGTGATCAACAAAGCTTGCTCTCAGAGAGCCTTCGTCTCTTAAGGGGAAGTACACCAATGGGTGATAGGGAACAAGAAAAATTAAGGGTAGACTGAAGGAGGGCCGTTTCCTGTAGGACAACCAGAGACAGGCTCAGCTATAAAACAGCACTGGACAAAAAGCAGAAGGAACTAAGAGGCTAAAGGAGTGGGTTCTCCCTTCAGCCGAGAAATGTGTGCAAAGGCCCCGAGGTGAGAATGAACTAGTGCTGAAGGCACAGCAAGGACTCCATTGTATAAGGTAGAGTAGTGAGAGACGAGGGCCAAGAGGCAGTGTGTACCTGTGGGGGGGAAGAGCTTGCAGCCCGCAGAAAGGACCTGGTTTTACCCCACAAGAGTAGAAGACATCGGAAGGTTCTGGGCAGAATGCTGGCAGGACTTGACTTCTATTGTAGAGGCACGCTCCAGCTGCTTGGAGAAGGGATTGGAAGGGACAAGTCTGGAAGGTGATAATTACTTCCAGTGGAAGGTGAGAGACACTGTCCAAGGCGGGAGTCCTGGTGCCATTGTAGTTAGGCACTGGGCTGCTAAACACAAGGTCAGCACCCACAAACCATTAGCCTCTCTGAGGGAGAAAGGCGGGTTTCCTACTCCCATAAAAAGTTAGTCTCGGAAACTCGCAAGGGGAGTTCTACTCTGTCCTATGGGATTATGATGAGTTGATAAAGACCCCATGGCAATGAGGTTTTTTGGTTTGACTCAAAGCACAGTCAACAGTTCTGCCGATTAATTGTATACTAAAGAGAAGTCAGAGGATAATCCCAAAACTACTAGCACGAGCTCCTGTGATAATGAAATTGCTATTTATTTCTAGAGTCACAGGGCAGGGAGCTGGGTGCTGGGCAAGTTTAAGATGCCTATGGTTACACACTGGGCTGAAATCCCCATGGTCGACAGTTCAAAACCACCAGTAGCTCCTTGGGAGAAAGACTGGACTTTCTATTCCCATCAACAATTACCATCTCAGAAACCCACAGGGGGTTGTTATGAGTCAGCAAGGACTGGGTGGCAGTGAGTATTCATCAACTCAAGTGCTGATTTCAAATAGAGGGCTGGCATGTGCAAGTCTAGACATCCGAAGGTGGATCTGGACTGAAGGGAGTTGTGTTTTGATCGGGGAGTCTTCCGTTTACAGAGCATTTAAAGGCATGGCTTCAGGAGATCACCTGGGGTGAAAGTGTGGAGAAGCCATCACAACACTGAAAGGTTAGGAAGTTGAGAAACTGAGGAATAAGGGGGGGGGGGGTGTAGAGATAGAAAAATAATAGCCAGTGAAGAGGGGAAAGATAAAGAGAGTGTTGCCTATAGGACAAATGTGTTAAATTGAAGTCACACCTTGGGATCTGACCTATCACTAACAACAATGTCATGCACAGAACCCGGTCAGCAAACGGAAACCCTCAGGAAACTAAGTGCCCTTGCCCAGCTAGTTATCTCTTTGGATTTTTTCCCTTCCTGCTCAAGGTGGCGGCAGCATCTTCGTTTCCAGAGCAAGTGACTCTTTACTCATTCTTTCTTGCATTCAACTACTAGGTGCCAGAGACCAGGTAAGAGCTTCGGGGAAACAAATGCAAATACATAAACCTATTCTTTACACCCCTGGACTTATATCCATCCTGGGAGATGTAGGGGTGTGAAAAAAAATTAATGGGCAAAGAGCTAAGTTGTTCGCTAAACTGACACCTACACGCCACCTACATGGGTGGCAGAGGGTGGTCGGAGGCCACTAGCTCCAGGTGGACCCGGGCTGCTAACTTCAACTCTGCTAACCAACACCCCGACAAATAGCCCTAACGTACCTCCTCCCTGCCTCCCCGCCCCGCTTCACTGCAGAGGGCGGGAGGCACAATCTTAATAGAAGAACCACCACGTCTCCTGGGATTCAGGCCTTGCTTCCAGACCCCTCAGCCCCCAGGTCGCCGCCCAGACCCCTGAGCCAGACGCACTACATGTCCCACCAGGCACCGCGGGTGCACAACACGCCGGCCCGCGGCCGCCGGTCAATACCTGAAAGCGATAGAGGAAAGCCTCGGGCCACAGAAACAAGTAGGCCGGGCTGATGAGGCCTAATTTGCCGACCAAGGGCACCGCGACGCTGGCGGCGAACCAATAGCGCGTGATAGCCGGGATGCTCCTAAACCAGTCCCCGATGTCCGACATCTTCGATTCTCAGGTCGCCAGGATGCGCACGGCCGCCCGACGCCCCGTCTCAGCCCTTCACGAAGCGACCGGCTCCGTGAGTGGAAGATGTCGTGGCGGAAGCCACCGAAGACTCGGTGCAGAAGGCGGAGACGGGCGGACGTGGCGCCACCGAATTCGGACGAGCGAGGGAACGTTCGACAGCGACACTTCCTCTTCCGGCGGCCGCGTACGACGTGACCAGAAGTCCCGCCGCTTAAAGGGCCAGCGCTCCTTTTCCGGGGGCGGGGTCTGGCTCGGAGCTCCTAGGGGCGGGCCAAAGGGAGAAGGGGCGGGGCCTCCACGAGACTGGTGGGGAACAGTGGTTGCCAGGAGCAACTGGAAACGCTTCAACCAATGGCGAAGCCGAATGCCTCCTCCGTTACCGCCCCCCCACCACCACCATGCGGAACCCAGTTGAGTCTCCTTGGTAGGTGTTTAAAGGAAGTAAAAGGAAGTCGTTGGTCCCTCATTTGTTCTCTCTTTCCACAAACGTTTGTTGAGGAATGTAAAGCTTGCATTCTCATGAGGATGGAAAGATCAGAAACAAATAATCGAATAGGAAAGTTTCAGCGTGGTCATAAACTGGGAAGATAGGATAAGAGTGACGGGGGTGGGGTTGGTGTGGGGAGATGACTACTTTAAATTGAGGATGACCAGGGACACCTTCTCTGACGACGTGACATTTAGGCCATTCAGGTGACAATACGGAGGGAAAGTTTTCCAGGCAAATAAGACAGCCACTTCACTCACTTGTGTCAGATTAACAGGAGCCCTGGTGATGAGAGCGTGTTAAAACTACCTTGCAAGACGTAGAACTGCCTTACAAGACGCGGAATTTCATTGCAAGATGCTGCATTACATACCACCTATGAACATCAGTGAGTGTTTTTGAGAGAGATTAAAAACCCAGTAAGAAATGCTGAATCACTGCAGACTTACTGAAAAGAAGCAAACCACCTACCCGGGCAGCACCTAGAAGCTCCCCAGACACATCTGGGGAACCCTAATAAGACGTGGCTGAACGCAAGAAGGACGTCAAAGAGCCAGCAAGACCGCCTATAAAGGCCTTGGTAGAGAGACTGAACTCAGAGAACTAGGAACCAAGGAGGAGACACCAGCTCCTGCTCTCTCCAACTCTACCTGGATGTGTACACTGATGAAGACAATGCCTGACGGGACTAAGGGCCAGTAACTGATATGATGCTGAATTAATCTTGTGTTACCCTTATAGCTAATGACAAGGTAATTTTAAGATTGTTAGATTGTTTGATGTGTGTTTGAAATGAATAAACCGAGCATTCAAAAATGTCAAAGAGCATTAAGTAAGTATTGATCACACGCTCGTGACACCTGGTGGCATCGTGGTTATGCATTGGGCAGCTACCCATAAGATTTGAAGCCACCAACCAATCCACGGGAGAAAGAGGAGGCTTTCTACTCTGGTAAAGAGTCACAGTTTCAGAGACCCACGGGGGCAGTCCTACCCTGTCCTATAAGGTCGCTGTGAGTCAGCCTCCACTCGGCGGCAGTGAGAATGAACAGCAAAGGATCATTACTGCTTGTGGTATTGGAAGAACAGAAAACAGTAGTGATCTCTACCGAGCTCATCAGACAAGACTCAAATTACAAGGAGTCCAATTTCTTGCTTTAAAAAAAATCTATAAAGAATTACTGAAAGTAACTTTTCCCGCTGTTTAGGACTGTTTCCGATGGGTAAAACCATCTGCTACAAGCCACCATAAACATAACTGTAGTCAGCAACGTTCCATTTAATTACTTTTCTGCAACAAGGGAAACAACAAACCAGGGAAACCTGGGCCATCTCACCGAAGGAGGAGAGAATTAGTCTGAGGAAGGGTGGAGTTTGGTAAAAAGTGTAATTGAAGCAATGTTTTAGAACCTGAAAGCAAAATGGCTGTGAGTAAAGGGTTAACATGGGGCTCACCTAAGCAGCAGTCCCACGGTCCAGTTTTTCTCTGAGACCCAAAAGTTAGAGACACATGGAACTCTGGGTCTGAAAACTCTTGACCAGAGCTGAAATCCTCTGTCTAAGTGACCCACGGGGCTCACATCCTCGAAGCCAAGGTGTTCCCGTCACCCTGGTAACATTTCTAAGACCAGAGTTTCTGACAATCTGTTGTTTTAGCAAATGCACCTGAGCACTTTGTCCTTGATGGTAACTAACAAAAGAGGAGGGTTTTACAGGACAAATAGGCACTAAGTTGTCCCTAATCAAATGAGAGTATATGACATTTGGAGAGCTAATGAATATCAGGCATAGTGAGGAAATGATGAAAGCCCTCACTGGTACACAGATGATGGAAATACAAATGGGTACCACCTATGGAAAGACAACTTTGGTATGAAAGAAAACCTAGGATATATAGGTAAGAGATATTTGAAAATATTTCCCTAGGTTCCTTCTTTATACCCCAACCCACCCACTGCCGTCACACTGATTCCAACTCATAGCTCCCTGGATCAGGTTTCCAACCAGAGCAAACAGCCTCATCTTTCTCCTAGAAGGGACTGGTGGGATTGAACTGCTGGCCTACAAGTTAGCAGACCATTGCCTAATCCACAACGCCACCAGGCTCCTTACACCCCATGCCACTCTTGCCATTTTCTTGGACCTGGTGCAATGAGGCAGAACAGGAATTGTTCAGCATAAGTTCATGACAAAGACTCCCCCCAACAAACTCATGTGTACATGAGCATGGGAAAAGATGAGGACAAAATACCAAATGCCTCAGAAAACTCCCACCAAAGGGACTGCCATCAAGTCAATGCTGACTCATAACAACCCTCCCTATAGGACGGAGTTGAACTGCCCCTTGGAGTTTCCAAGACTGTAACTGTTTACAGGAGTAGAAAGTCCTATCTAATCTCCCTCGGAGACACTGGTGGTTTCGAACTGCTGGCCTTGCAGATCGCAGCCCAGCACTATGCCACTAGGGCTTCCACCAAATGCCCAGCAGTGTTTTATTTCAAGGCTGTGCCCTTAATAGCACGTTTTATTTGAATGAATGCTCTAGAATTCAGCTTCAGGCTTTATAACCCAAGAGCTTAAATCATGACTCCACACACTATTAGCAATGTGATGTTGGAAAAATTACCTAACCTCTCTCTGCTCTGTTTCTTCATTTCTAAATGGGGAGTGAAGGGTAAGAATAGTAGTAAACTAATTTGGTTGTGAGGATTTCAATGAGAAAATTTCATGACCAGGGCAGAAAGCAATATCTGAACATTTTGACTGTTCTCCTTTTTGCTTATCTGTTTTACAACAAAAACATCAGCGTTGTTGTAATTTTAAAAAAATATTAAGTAGTAAGGGAATTTGTCTGCCTGAAAATTGTCTATTCTAAAGATCGCTCAAGGAGCCTCAGTGGTACAGTGGGTTGTGTTGGGCTAAAAGCTCTCATGGCTGGCAGCCCAAACTGACCAGCTACTCTGCAAGAGGAAGATGAGGCTCCCTGCTCTCCTGAAGGCTGACAGCCTCAGAAGCCCACAGAGGCCATTCTAATCTGCCCTGTGGAGTCACTGTGAGTCGAATCCACTCGAGGGCAGTGCTTTTTTGGAAGGCTAGATCCATGGTCTCCAAATGATGGTGTCCATAAAAATCACCAAGGAGCATCTGACCCCTAGATTTCAAATTTTGTAGATCTGGGCTGAGAAGTCTGCATTTTCCAAAGTTCTGCCTACCTCCCTAGCTGATTCTTAGGCTCGCCATTCAGACTAGATGAACAGTAAGGCTCTCTCTCCCTTTGTAAACTCACTAACTATTGTGATAAATGACTCTGAGCATAAATCAGAAGTTTATTCTTAGCTCTGTTCAGTAAAGGGCCTCCCCGTCCCTCCCTGCTCAGGAATGTAATCACTTAACTTGTAAGGAGTTTCCTGAGTGATCATCTTTTATACACGCTACCATGTAAAAGCATGCATGTAAATGATACAGGGCTAGGTTTCCGGAAAAATAATGACCATGATGCTGAAAGTATATGGGGAAATAGGCATCCTCATGAATTACTGATGAGAATATAAATAGGTAAAACCTCTGCAGCGAGCAATGGACACTACTTAGCATGCACTTCGAGGAATGTAAGCTTCGGATGGATCTCAACATTTAGGAAAACAAAGAACAAGTGGGCAGGTATAGCCATTGCTGCAACTTTGAAATGGCAAGACTACAAAGAGCTGGAAAACCATCAGAAAGAACTGATTATGTGTAATGTGGTTTTGCCGTGTGATGAAATACTAGGCAACTTTTATTAGAATGAGACAGCTCTGTAACTCCAAAATGGGGTGCTCTCTCAGCTTTATTGATAAGAATAAGTGTTTTGATACAGTGTGGTGGTGGTGGTGGTGGTGGCGGTGGTGGTGGTGGTGGTTAGATACCATCAAGTTGGTTCCAATTCATAGCAACGCTGAGGACAACAGAACAAAACACTGCCTGGTCCTGCGCCAGCCTGATCATTGGTCACCACCCAGGGACTCCTTCAACTTGGTACAAAAAATAAAACAGACAACAACGGCAAAGCACCCTTTGCCATCCAGTCTATTCTGGCTCGTGGTGATCAAAGTAGAACTATAGTCTTGATGAAAGCAGCCCCCCACCCCCAGGCCTTTCTTCTGTGAGACCCTTGGGTGAGGTTGAACTGCTAGAACCCAATCATTCAGGGTCATGTGGCAGCTTGTGAGCACTGCCCCTTGTCATCAAATAGGGAGCCTCACTCTCAACTGGCCTCCTCCCCAGTAGTCTCCAGAAGGCCTTTGGAAGCCCTTGTCATTGTCAGCAGTGTTCTCAGTTGGGGGAAGGATCTTGCAGCCTGTCAAGATCCACATCACTCCCCCCGCTGCCCTCCCCCCACATACTTCTCTATTTCATCTGTAGGTGCCAAACCCTTTTGATTTATACATGAAACACTGCCCTTGGTTGCTTTCATGTATGTTTTATGAGAATACCTAGGCATGAATATTTATTTAAACAGCTTGGCACCCAGGCTTTTGATTTTCTTTTTCTAGTCGAGTCACCTTTAAAGGGGGCAGAGGGGAGGGTGTCTTATGTTCCAGTTCACCTGTAAATGGCTTCTGCCCCTTCCCACTCAAGGCAGAGTAGTGGAGTCTTCCAGGGGACAGAAACATGCATGGGCTTGCATACATCT